CTATAGTCAAATTAATAATCTAAATTTAATTTACCATCTACTTAAGGGCAAAAACACACACAAAACATTTTTATATACATCCATATAAATTCAGGGGTTAAAATTGAAACGACTTTGGTTCTGTCATAATCCAAATATGATTTTAAAGTACTTATAACAGTTATCTCTTCATGTAATTGGCACTGAAATGGAGCAAAAGATCATGGTCTATGTAGTTCCCTCTGTTTTTGGAGCCATTTTTGTTGCTGCACTATAACTCCACTATAAAGAGACTTCAAGAGAAGAGAATTCAGTATAAATTGTGATGGTCCAAGATATTATTTTGAGACTTTTGACAGTATGATATCATGATATTTCAGTTATTGTTACATCATTAGTGCTGTTTAAACATACAATATCAGTCAAAAGTATGGACTCATACTCTCATTCAATAGTTTTTTTTACACATTTAATATGCATACAGAAGACATCAAATGTATTAAGTACGATATATGAAATTATGTAGCAAAAAATGTTAAATATCTATACCAAATATTTTATTCAAATATATTCAAACCAATACCAAATCTTCAAATTAGACACTCTTCATGTGGCTTCATCCAAATAATTCCATATATGTTGCTTCATATATTTGATATTTTTTATCTTTTGTATGTATCTAAAATGTTGAAAGTGGGGAGAAAAAAAGAATACGAAACTTTGAATGAAACTGTACCCAAACTTTTGACTGGTGCTGTTTAAACATTCACAAGACAAAAGTTTGGACACACTCATTCAACCTTTGTTTGTTTTTTTTTTTCCCTTCTTTTTTCTTCTACATTTTAGATACATACAGAAGACATGGAATATATAAAGCAAGATAGATGGAATTATTTAGTGAAGAGAGCAAAGGGTGGCTACTTTGATTATTTGGTTTTATTTCACTTTTTCTTCTTTACTACATAATTTCCTACATCTTACTTTGTACTTTGACATCTTCTGTGTGTCTAACAAATGTAGAACGTAGTACAGTCGTCCCTCACTATATCGCTGTTCACCTTTCGTGATCTTGCAGATTTTTTTTGTGCAATTTTGCAAGCTTTTTTTTTTTTTTTTAGCGGATGAACACGTATTACGTATTATGGGCAGATAGTAATTACACACGGTGGGTCAGGACTAAACCAGGTCTAAACCAGGACTAATTTTGGACTTAAGAGAGAGAACCCTGAGCAAAGCAGTGCTCGGGCAATTGCCACGATTACCTTCGTGAGGTGCAGAGCTGAGCCGGTCCTTTCTCCTGCTGTCACCTCCGAGCCCATCCCGACAGTGAGCCCTGTTTCAGTCCTGTTTCAGTCCTGTTTCAGTCCTGGTTCAGTCCTGGTTCAGTCCTGTTTCAGTCCTGGTTCAGTCCTGGTTCAGTCCTGGTTCAGTCCTGGTTCAGTCCTGGTTCAGTCCTGGTTCAGTCCTGGTTCAGTCCTGGTTCAGTCCTGGTTTCAGTCCTCCTGTTTCAGTCCTGGAATCAGTCCTAGGTTTGTCCTGGTTTAGTCTTGGTTCAGTCTGTGGCGTAGGCAGCGCAAAAGTTTGATATAATCGGTGTTGTACTGCCCGGGTGCAGTGGTCTCCAAAAATGGGCCTGTGGAGGACTCTGCGCTGTAGGACTCCATTATGGAATTAATGAATCATCGGTTCGTTACATAAAAAAGGAGGAAAATAACATAAGGACGACAGCAGCAATAAGTCTTAAGAAGGATGCAAAAAGGTTTGTAACTGTCCTGTCTGAGAAAAGTGTATAAAGTGTGTGCTGAGGGCTTCTACAGACTTTAAACAGATATAATAATTGTAAAATATAAAGTTGACTACTTTGAGAATTTTTAGAACGTAACCCCCATGATAAACGAGGGACCACTGTAAACATTTAGACAAAAACACTGAATCAGAGGATGAGTCCATACTTTTGACTGGTATTACAGAGTTATGGTGCCAAAATAGAAAGGCCAATCATCATCATGTTACGCAGAAAAACAGTAAAAATAGCCTGCTGTCAGCTTACTGTACCATCGAATCTGTCCGGAGCTGTACGCTTTTAATTACACAGGATTTAGGACGCCATGCTAGCCCTAATCTCCCTGCTATAAACAATAACAGAGAAATGAAAATAACATCCCGCAGGCAGTCAATCACGCAGATAATGCAGTGTCCAAACAAAAAAAGAAGATTATAAAATGAATTCCCACCAAGCAGAATGGAGAAATTACTGTGGCAAAAGGAGGCAAGTTGACCAAGTTAGAAATAATTACATTTTTGCTAGGTGAAACAATCCAATTAGCACTAGCATGTCATTAAGCTAATATTGTTTTTATTGTTGCAGCATTAACAAAAACATGAGCAGATTATGGTGGCTTGTCCTCCATTACTGTTTACTAGTGGAAAAAATAAAACTTCTCCATGTTGTGCTAATTGACATTTCGTATTGTGAAAAGGATTAACTCTAATGGGTGTATAAATATTGTGCATTTTGAGCAATTTTGTTTTATTTAGGTCAAATTTGATGACACAAACAAATCTCTATTGCACGTTTTTTTCCAAATTTTTCCAATTCACATTACTAAAATTTCAAACTTTATTTTGATTTTAAACTTGATTTAAGGAATACACTTGATACTAGGAATGTACAAAGATCTCATGAGACAAAATTGCTTCAAGATTGTGCACACGTGAGAAAAATTACAATCTTGAGGTTTTTTTTTCCCCCAGTGTTTACATCTGGATTGGACAAAAAAAAAAGGTTATGAGTTGGCAAGTTACAGTTCCAAAAAGCAGAGCTAGGACGGAAAAAAAATACAAAAATATGAAATCAACTAAATCAAAAATTTAAAGGGCAAAATTGGAAACTGAATTGTGAAATGTATACTATTTTCCGGGCTATTAGGCACGCTCTTAAGGCTCTAACCCATCAAAAAACAACCACGCGCCCAGCAATCCAGAGCACCCTATACACGAATCCAGTCGGGTGTCTCAGCACGACTTCAGTAAACTACAAAGCCGCACCACCTGCAAACACACACGGAGCAGACAGTGACCGTGCAGCAAAAAACACCCACAGCCACACTCATAACTCCACGCGGACGAGGAACGGAACAGAGGAACGAACCGAAAAAGCGAGTGCAATGTGCCACTTCTAGACACAACTGAACAACTGAGTCACTGAGAACACAGCAACAGATATGTTCCATAGTGATCAATATGGTCAATATAAATATAAAAATATTTATATAAAAATGATTGCATTTCTGTTAGAGGGGTTAGTATATGGAACAATGTGAGTGATGATTTTAAAAAGTCTAACACTGTAGAAGCCTTTAAAAAGAGTATAAAGCATTATGTTTAGAACGATATAGAGCTCTGGAATGGATGAATTATGCATAAAATTTAGTTTAAGAGTTATTGTGTCAGTGCTATTGATACTTTGCAGGCTTACGTCATCAACATTCCCTTGGGGTGTGATGCTGATTGTAGGCACCGCTCTGTTTGAAGCTAAGTTACTCTGTTTACACAATCTGACCAGAAAGAGAAAGAACTACGACTGGTGAACTGATTTTGACTGTTAAATATGTCCCACACACGTAAAATAACCGTATTTTCCAGGCTATTAGATCCGCTCTTAAGCCTCCAACCCCATCAAAAAACGACCTATACACGAATCCAATCGGGTGTCCCAGCACGACTTCAGTAAACTACAAAGCCGCACCACCTGCAAACACACACGGAGCAGACAGCGACCGCGCAGCGAAAAACACCCACAGTCACACTCGTCACTCCACGTGGACGAGGAACGGAATGGAGGAACGAACCGAAAAAGCGAGTGCAATGTGCCACTTCTAACCACAACTGAACAACTGAGTCACTGAGAACACGCCGACAATCCAGCGGTCCCAGACAGCACCCTCCCTACACGCCACAACTGAACAAAGCCCAGAGTCACCGTGAACGGCACAAACAAAGTCCCACTGACCCATCCAACTGTTGTGTTTCGTTTAAAGTCCGGTGTGGTTTATTTGTGAAAAAAGTTCGAAAACAGACCCTTTAATGACAGTGCGCCTTATAATCCAGAGCTCCTAATAGCCCGGAAAACACGGTACAGTCACAGCAATAACCCAGAGTTTTTCAATTAGTCACTTTCACCTTTTTGTTGAAAATCAAACACTGAAACATGACCATGAACGTTCGTATTGATCCAAGGTTCCTGAAAGCATGTTGTTCAAATCCATTTCGCATATTATCTTGAGTTTTCAGACAATCTTAAAACTTTTTTGGCTGCTTTTGCTCATGTTCGCATTGCGTCTCTATAGTAACTGCTGAACATCCCACCACAGACATACTAGTACACGTAGAACTCCCTTCTAGTGTGTTGTTATTGCAAAGTAGTTCCAATATTCCCTTGTAGCAAACTGTCGTACTTCAGAACTTGCTATCGTGACAGGCCAAGCCCTTTCATCTCTCAGTCTTGTCATTCTTTCGCCGAACCAAACAAAATTTACATCTTTGTGGAAATGAGACTTTTGGAAGGCGTTTGCTCTGCCAGTTGGCTTGGTCTCACTCACGACACAGCGTCTAATTAGAAGAGTGGGATGTCAGCTGACAGTTGGCCTTAGCCCCTGCGATAAGCTAACACGACTCCACTGCGCTTCATCATTAAAGCCGCTTTTCTGACACGCTATTACGACGCCCGGATGCTGTAGATCTAATCCACGCACGTACGTATCTGCGGTTCACTGTGGGGGCCGTATCTGAGCCGATTTGCCGGAGTTTGTGTGTCTTTTTACTGGAGCCGGTGGGGGGTTAATATGGCCAGGAGCACTAAAAATAAAAATGACAGTCTGGTGTAATTGACTTCTCCACAGAGGGCTTGGGTAATGGCAGGGGCTGTGAGGAACAGTTGGATAGCTGGGAGAGGAAGAAGAGGGAGTGGAGGAGGGACACTGGAGCGCATATAGGAAGGCGGTATAGAAAATATGACTTACCCCATGATGAGGCTGTTGATGTAGTCGTTCCCGTCCATGTGACCGAACTGGAAGTCTCTGCAAAAAGAAGATTACAAGTTAAAGCGACACGTGTAAATTTCGAAAGAGAAAGTTCAGGGCCCTATATTACGAAAAATGTACTCTTGTAAGCTTTAAGCCATGTTAGAATGTTGTTACTTCCTCAAAAAACATATCTGGAGTTGTGTTTTGTTTCCTGATGTTGTCATGAAGCAGTAGTTTTCAAATTAACAGCTACCTTTTACATTTAATTCAATAGAGATCGGTAATTCCAGGGTAAAAGTTATCCAAATTATTCTTGTGAAGGTGTATGGAGTTTAAAAACATGAATGAAGCACTTCCTGTATTGTCATGTGACATCACAAGGTGGAATAGAGTATTGTTTCCAAAAGACTGAGTCGCAACCTTCAGGTGGGTCGTAAGATATTTTCTTTTGGGTCACCTAGTCACGATCTGCATGTAGGTCTGCAATATACAGTTCTACAGACAATTTTCTTCCAATATTGCTGGTTCAATTGAATGTTGAAAAGAAAAAGAAATGGGCTACATTTAATGTCCAAATAGGCGACTTATGAATCCTTTTATTTCTGCTTCAATGACTGTTTTTCATTGTTGAGTAATGAGTATTACTAATTGTTCAAAGAGACACGAACACTCAGTCAACAATAAAATATGCTCAAAATATGGTCAAATCCATGTTTATTTAGTGATTCATGAATAATGTCTATTGATTTGGGTCTCAAAGGTTTGTGGCTTTTAAAATATAGGTCCTCAGAAAAAAAAGTTTGGGAAACACTGGAATGAGTGAAGAATTCAGTCTAAATATGCAGGTTTTGTGTGATAAACGTGTGAATGAAACAAAACACAACTCCAGGTACAGTATGTTTGTGATGAGGAAACAACTTTATAAACTAGATCAGAAAATAGAGTAATCTGAGCCCTTTAAATATACTTATATAGGCTATAGTGATTGATGCATTTTATTCTTTACAGTTGAATATCATAGTCAAAGGAAACAAGATTTCCAAGCAGGTCAAATAAGAGGTCAGATTTGTGGAGATGTAAGCACGCTCACAGTATGGTTGCATGTTTTTCAGTGCAAAATATATATATATATATATTCCAAACTAAAAACATCCTGTTATTTTGTCTATTTTTTGGGAGGAAATGTACACAGTGGGGAGATGGAAAAGCTTTTCAGGTCAAATCATACCAATGTTTAGGCAGCTCATGATATAGCCTGTGTTTTAAATGGCAATTTTATGTCGTATGATGCCTTCCAGCATTTCAAAAGTGTTTCGTCTACAGGCACAATGGCACAATTCACACTTGTCAACACTTGTGTGACTGGTTAGCCTCTGGTTGGAGGGTGACATTGATCCCATGTTCAAACCAATGTGTTTTCTTTGATTGAAGCATTCATTAAAACTGATCATAGATACACTAACAGTCAAAAAATAAACTCCCAATAACTCCAAACTTGTTTTAGTTTTTAGACGTTAAAATAGAAACCCTTTGATTTCACTACTTTGCACTCTTAGGATTTCTTCTAGCTTGATTCATCAGCCGTTTCACTTTGTCTGACCTCACAGCATTAGAATTTGCTCGACAGTAGGCGGTTACTTTTTTATTTAACCAGTTGCTGTTATTTGGTCGTGATGTATGTAATGCGCCACTAACGGGGCTAACTGCTATATTAAGCTTTTCCCAAATCCCATAGGAAGAAGGGTAACAATATCTTTCCCTTGATGAAATTAACTAAACATTCTCTTTGTTCCAGCTTTAAATCCTCAATCTCAGGAATCATTGCCAACACTGAATGTATGGCTCTTTGCTAAATGACTGGTGCCTGAACTCGCACTTCCGAGGTTTTTGCGAACCGTCTAGTGTAAAATAGTGTAATCGCTGGAGAGAAATGAAATTGAGCGGAGGCACTAGGTGGCGCCAGCCTCGCTATAGTTCTTCACCCCTGACAAGTGAAAACCATTTCAGGAGATTTCTTAAAGAAGCTCACTGATAGAAGGCAGTTTGCAGCGCTGTCAACAAAGCCAAGGGTGGATACTTTATATTTTTTATTCAAATCATCAATCAAAGAATATATGTAGTTGAATTATTTCAACTCATTTTTTGCTACATCATTCAGTACATCTTGTATCATATATTTGATGTCTTCTGTGTGTATATAACATTTGGAAAGTAGTAAACATAACGAAAAAACACACTGAATGAAACTTTTGACTGGCAGTGTATGCATACAGATATTTTGGTCAACTGAAATAAAGTATTATAATATTCAGTAAATAAATGGAACATATAACCTTAAACACAAAATAATCTACATATGGCACGTAATCTCACAAAAACATTCTTATTTTATTTCTACATTTCAATATAAAACACTCAAATATTTATATAGATTTTAAAACCTGCCCTAGAAATAACCTCAACTCCTCTTGCATGTTCCCCAATAACATGCAAAAAAAAAAAAAAAAAAAAAAATCATCATGCATCAATTCTCTCCTCATCTTTTCCCGGCACTGAAAAGACTGGCGTGATTTATCTAAAAAACGATAAGTCGGGAGGAGGAATTCAATTTGTATCTTATTGTCCCCGCTCCATGTCTGAGACTCGGCTGGGGGAAAACGGCTCCCACAAGTCGCAGTCACTTCAGCTGAATGACTGATTACGGCACACGTATTATACATCACGGAAACACGCGGGGCCCTCGTCTCGCGGGCCCCAAACAATACTGCTGATATCAAGCGCCATGCAAAGACCAATGTATAATAAAAATATGTAATAAACTCCAAATATGGTGACAATGTTGCTGACGGTGGCATAGGGATAGAGTATAGAATGCATTTGAATCGAAGGGAATAGGAAAGCTGTTTTATCAGTAGAGCAGCTATTTAACCTTATGGGTAGAGAGTGTCTCCAAGGAGATCGAGTGAAAGCTACGTTGACCTATGACTAACCAGCTTTATGGCCCCTGGCAGAGTGGGGCTTGTGTAACAGATATCAGGCAGTTTCAATTAGGGGCGTGCAAAAATGCTGAAATATCCATATATCGTATCGTTTCATTTGATGATACAGTATTGATATTATGGGGTGCTGTATCAATATATATGCAAGAGTATTTTTAGGTGTATTTTACTAAATTATTTTGTGTAAGAGCTACGATTGTGTTGACATTTTCACTGTTTTGACAAATAAAATTTGTTTTTCTCATAGGAACATTGCACAAACTTAGTGGACTTAGTAGACCTTCAGTATCACAGCCATGATCTCGCCTTTGTTTTTCACAGAACTGTATCAAATTGTTTTGAAATACACTACCGGTCAAGAGTTTTAGAACATGGTAATTTTTCCCAGTTATTTATTGCAGTTCAAGTCACGTAAGTCCAATGAAGAGCTTGAAATGGTACAAAGGTAAGAACTGAACAGACAGAGGTTAAAAAAAGATAAAAGAACAAAACACAAGTCCAAGCTCTGCCAAAACTACCTCAGGAAAAAAGAACAAGATTGTAAGCTTAAAAACATGGAGTGTCCAGCACAGTCTCCAGACTTAAACCCCATTGAGCTGGTCTGGATGAACTGGACAGAAGAGTGAAGCAACCTACAAGTGCCACACACATTTATGAAAACTTCTGCAACAGCCTTGGGAAGAACTTTCTGAAGAATATTTGATTTCTGTTGTAAAAAGAACGAGCCACGAGTGTGTTCTAATATTATATCTGCCAAAGGTGGACACTTTGAAGAATCAAAAGTTAAGAATATGTTTTGGTCAACAGTAAACAGTAAAAAACTGGAAAAAGTGTGGTGTTCTACCAGTTTTCACAGGTAGTGTATATCATATTGAATCGTATTGAATCGAAAGTACACTGTATCGAAAAACATATCGTATCATGGCCTATGTATCGAGGTATGTATCGTATGGACAACTTCTTAATGACACCCAGCCCTAGTTGCAATTGTAGAACACATATAAATATAGAAATTAGTATTAAAGGCCCTGTACCTGATTTTTTCCCCCATGTTTTTAAGCAACATTTGTCTTGCCCCAGTGCAGATATCAGTCAATTAGTCAATTCCTTTCCCTTCTCCATGTTTGACAGAGCTTAAGAAAGTGAACGTCCCCATCTTGTGGGATTTGCGGGTGGAAGCGGGACAAAATATCGCAGATGCAGGCGGGAGCGAAAATGAAAATTGCAATTCTTTGCTGGGGCGGGCAGGAGTGGGACTGAAAATTCTGCCCAGCGCAGACCTTTACCGCCAAACTGTGGCTCGATGGCTCTGACCGCTCAACGAATGATGTTTATGTCGAGAGCAGGATTCGAATCACAAACCTTCTGATCAGTGGATAAATGCTCTACCAACCGAGCTACTGTCTAATAATCAGGAAGTACATGTTAGAATTCTTGTTAGCTTTACCGTCAAAAGCAAAAGTCTGCACTGATCTCCGAGTTAGGATGCTGAGAATGCATAAGATCAGTGAGGAATGGCTTTGGACCACTGACATTAAAAATTTTAAATGAACCAGTAAAAATCAGGTACAGCACATTTGAAATTGAAAGTAAAACATTATGACTGCAGAACTATTGGTTGTAAGTGAGTGTAAGTATAAGTGAAGTAAGTGGAAAGGCAGAACTCTGTGTCTGTCAGATGTGTTTTTGTTTTTTTGGTGTAAAAAAAAGACAAAACAAAGAACTCCAAAAACACAAAAATTGACCAATGTTTAAAACATTATTCCAGTATTGGTCCAAGTCCAATTCCACAAAATAAAGAAATCAAAACATTTTTACCTGTTGCTACCAAAATAAAGGCCTTTAGCACCCATAATATGAGTTTTGGGGCAAGTAAACCATGAATAATTGTTAAAAATGGTCAAAGCGTTTTTTCTGTCTTCACTGAGCACTTAAAGCACAGCAAGGAACCAGCCATTCACACACCACTGGAGGTAGACACAGCATTTAAATCTTCTTCCATAGTTAAGTGGACTATCCCTTATTTTTACGATCTTAAAGACTTGAAAAACACAA